CATTGTGGGAAAATTCTACTACTAGTCCTTCATCACCTTAAACGAAATATGGTGAATACATCTCATATTACTGATTTACTGGTAGTTTCGAAACTCTACTCAAACACGAAAAATAAAGTTCTTCTGTTGAGGCTACAAATTGCCATCTGCTTAAATGCCTAGACGAATCAACACATGGTGCTAATGAAATTGATGAAATGATGAAAAGAAGCCTGGCAGACTAAAAGAGTGACATGGGCCATACCAGCAAGGAATTTAACAAGTCAACGATTCGATTCTTGAAATCATGATGAATATTATGACAGAGGAGGCAGGATAGGTACGTTCCATAAGGTCTCCTAAGTTGCAAAAACGAGATCAAACCAACACAATTTTGCATTTGAAAGTAGGGTTTCGAGACTACCAGTAATCAGATTTATGAGATGAGTTCATCCTATTTCATTTAAGGTCATGATGACCTGCTTGAGCTGGTCTCTTCAGCACCCCAGCGGGATTCGGACTAGGACTGCAGCATATACTCTCGACACGTTAATAACTAGGCCACATTGTCATGAGTGGCCTTGAGCCACAGAGCAAATGTGAATTTCAAGGAATGTCAGGCGTTTTCCCATATCACATTCTATGGTGGGATTGTCGATGAAGCAAACTTATGTTTGCTATAGCAATCGAGGATATTACTTGTTTTTCATGTGTAAGCAAGGTTTAGAGATTATCAGTAAATCAAATATATGAGATGTGATATGGGAAAATGCCTGGTCTGCCTTGAAATTCACATCTGCCCTGTGACCCAAGAGCATTCATGACAATGTGGTGTAGTGGTTAACGTGTCAAGATCATACGCTGCACTGTCTTAGCTCGACTCCCGCTAGAACGTTGTAGAGACCATCTCAGGTGAGGTCGAATCTGCAGTCCATCGTGGATGAGAATACTTTTTTGGAAACAAGGCTTTGTGAAATTCAATGGAAACGTAAGGTTTATTCATATCATTGAATTTCATCCCTTTAAACAGAATAGAGTAAACACATCACACAAATCAACACTATACTTGTAAGTAGTTACGATGCTTGATTCGAGCTGGCAGAGAAGTCAGGACCTACTGCTTTGGCCAAATCTGCATGAAGATGGAACTAAGCGACTAAGCGACTAAGCAGAACAAAGAAGATGTTGATACATAGAGGATGTTTTGGTGTAAACCACCAAATACACTTTTCTTAACTCCCCTCCCCCCTGACCAAAATGCGTGGGGCATACTGAGGATTGTAGAAGGCCATAATGAGATCAAGGCATACATCCCAGATGCTGCGGTCATAGCCTCGCCTTACCTCAGACAAGCAATTTGAGCTAGTTTCCATGGCTTGCTTGCCAGAAGACTTCAGGGAATTGTCCCCCTCCTGCCCTAATCGTCATCACAGGCACTTGGATGACCAGCCAAAGATAATCTCATATGTCTTGAATGACTCAGGCCCAGCATCGCTTTTGACGATAGCCATGCTTAACCTAAAAATTCGAATCATGAGAGAGGAAATTAATTTGGTATATGATACTGATGAGGTCAAAATAACTTTCAAGATATTCAA